TCAGTTAATGAACTTTCACGTTAATGATTTTAAACAAGGCTATCGTCATCTGTAACGGCTCGATTTTACTTCCGAGTATACCGTAATTATGGGATTTTGGAAGGACAATATATTTTCGTATTAAAATATAGAGCTAACGAAGCCAGTCAATAAAGTTTCACGTTCGTAATTTCAAACAAAAACGGCTGCCGCCATCGTTCATCATCTCTAACGGCTCGGGCGTCCGTGTTGACATAAACGTTACTACTTACTTTGAGCTCTCTAATGAATCAATTACATTCTTTTTGTTTATATGTGTTATTGTAGGTTTGAACAAGCTTTTATCATAAGTCATCTCAACGGAGCAAAGCAACCTCTTTGGATCGGATTAAACAGTAGACATAAATCAGGGGAGTATGTTTGGGTGGATGGTAAATCGTCCAATTATTTTAATTGGAATCCACGAATGTTAACAAGATTCGGTCATTACAAATGTGTTGAAATGACTCACAATCGTTGGACAGCAGGTGAATGGAATCCAGTGGATTGTTCTAAGTTGAATGGCTATATTTGCGAGTCAGGTTAATGCTCATTTTTAAATTATAAATAGTTGATCAGGCTTGAACACCTGCATGACATGGAGCCGGTTGTTCGAAAGCCGGTTAGCTAATTAATCCTGGCGTAACGAAAATTTCAAAGCACAACTTGCCAACAGCTTGCTTATAAACATGGAAATATATTTTCCATAATTCTTGTCTAAATCAATATAAGTCAAACCAAAAAGGAAGGTTAAATTTTAACCTGGGTTAACGCTAATCCAGCTTTGAACAACCGACCCCAACGTTTTTAACATTTTAACTTCGATGAAGATATTACAAGTGAAGGTTATTTAGTCTTAATTCTGACTATTCAGTCTCATTGAACTGCAAAGTTGCACCATGTAGGCCTACCATGCTGCTTCATTATGAACTAGTTATCGCCTTTGTACTGTATATGGTTCCGCATCCGTCCAACTTTTCTTCGCCAATATATCCCGGAAACATGCCAAAGTCAGAAAGCCCACGTTCCCCACATTTTAAACACTGTCTGCCCATGTTATATGTAATCTTTTGCAGGAACTTATGAAATACAAAAATTTATTGCATATTCCATTCTAACATACCAATTTGAAAGTTAATTTTATCGCCGTGTTTCAGGTGATTGTTTTTGCTTATTTTCAGCTTCTTCAAACACACCTCCGAAGAACACGCCTACAAGGAAACCGAAAGGTATACATTAAATTTGCGCCTGAATTATCATTATTCGAATACCAGTACGTACTATTTAAGAAATAGAAAACATTTTCCGTGTTTCTATAGAGTTATAGAAACACGCGTGCTAGTTTGGGAGAACGACAAATAAACAGTGGGAACGTAACACGAGCACGCAGTGCGAGTGTTTCCACGTTATTTCGAGTTCTCCCAAACTTGCACAAGTGTTTCTATAACTCTGTAGAAACGCTGGAAAAAATGTTTTCTATTTCTTTTTTAAATACTTTGTGATAATAACACAAAAACAATATTTTTAACGCGATTAAAAAGTATATTCTCATTACACAATAACAAGAAAATGTTGCCTAGCAACAATACCGGCATCAATTTTCAGTTTTGCCGACGGCAAAATTATGGAAAAAGCACGCTCAAAAAGTTGATTTAAAGAAAATTTAAAGCGAAAA